TACAGACACACTTATGGGGATGCTCAACTGGGTATTTATCCACATGTGTGCCATGTAAGGTGTTAGTGTATACACTGCAAACACTAACAAATAACAAGTGTGGACTTGCCCACATATTTTAAGCAGCCAAGTCACCGGAAAAACATGTAATTAATACAGGCCAAACAATTGTTGTGCCAGCACAATATCTGCCAAAACAGAATCTTGTGAAGGCTTCGCAATGCAAGTCAGCTCTGCAAACAACAGCTACTGCTATCAATCTCATGCAAGAGCTTATACTGCATGTCCAAGGGATGGGATCAAGACAACGGTTACTCTGGTGACATTCTGATCATGCTGATCCAGCCACATAATGGTGATTATGCATTTTTTACATTTAATAGAACAATACATTACTTCATTAGTTCTCAAACTTATTACCTTTGTATGTAGAGATATCTTGTAGCACCAGTGAGACTAACTGAAATAAGGAAGTTGGGAGCATGAGCTTTCATGGACTTAACTCTACTTCCTCAGATGCATTTAGCCTAATAGTAGTACCACACTATTCTGCTTTGGTCAGGCCTCACCTGGAATACTATGTCCAGTTTTGGGAACCAAAATTGGAAAAGGTTGTAGACAAGCTGGAGCGTGTCTAGAGGAGGGCATCCAAAATAGTGAAGGGTCTGGAAACCATGCCCTATGAGGAGAGACTCAGGGCCTCAGCAGACGGAGGCCCCGGAGACGCCGCCAGACAGAGCGCCGCGGGACCGCAGCCTCCGCACCGCGGCGCTCCTGCGGCGTATCTAAAAGGAGCTCCAAATTGGCACTCCTTTTAGATGTCAGGGAAAGTGCGCCCTAAAAGCGGCGGGCGCACTTTCCCTGACTCTTCTGCCGCAGCGCATGTGGTCGCTGCGGCGTGAGGTCATCCCCGGAGCGCCGGCCGTGCGGAGGGCCGGCAACTCCGAGGGCGACCTCAGGAAGAGGAAGTGCGGCTCCCCCTCCTCTTCAGGGCCTCGAAGACGACTCTATTAGTCGTCTGCCAAGGCCCTACGATAGCTGGGTATGTGTAGCCTGGAGAACAGATGGTTAAGAGGTGATATGATAGCCTTGTTATTTGAAGGGGTGTCATGTTGAGGCTGGAGCAAATTTGTTTTCTGCTGCTGCAGAGAATAGGACCCAGAACAATGGATGTAAGCTACAGGAAAAGAGATTTCACCTCAACATTAGGAAGAACCTCCTGATGCTAAGTGCTGTTCGACAGTGGAACACACTCCCTTGGAGAGTAGTGGACTCTTCTTTGGAGGTTTTTAAGCAGAGGCTGGATGGCCATCTGTCAGAGGGGCTTTCCTGGTCTATTCCTGCATGGCAGGGGGTTAGACTTGATGGCCTTGAGGTCTCTTTCAACGTTATCATTCTACGATTTTATAATCCCCTTTACATCTACATGTGGATGCCATGCCCACCCCACTCCACACAGTATATGAATGAAAATATGTTGTTTATTTAGTGTGTATATTTTTTGTTTATACACTCAAGTATAATCATATTTTAACATTTTATAAGGAAATAATATCATTCAAAATAGGAAAATTGTATTTAAATAAATTCAATACTTAACACATGTCAATTTTAAAAATACTGTCTCCCACACAACCACACTCATATATACCTGTGCTCAGAGATATGTACACACTCTGTCATTCTCTTTTTTCATTTCACTCACACATATACTCATTTATTCTCTCACACACAGTCACACAGAAACATACATTTTCTTATGTATATGCAAATATACACAAGTGCATATGCGCGTATGTAAAAATAGAGATGAGTGTGACTGAGTGTGTATGTGGGGGGTGGGGGTGGGGGGCATAATCACACCAGCCAGCTGTCCCACTACAGTCCCACTAGTTTAAGAATGGAAGGCTGGTTTGGCATCACTTCTTATCACACCTTTCCCTACAATAGCACTTTGGTGATCCATGGTTGTGTGATCTGTTTTCTGCACTCTCAAATGCTGCCTTCCTGGAGGCTCAGGATAGGCTCCACCAGAGACCATGATCCAGCAAGTTTCTCTGATCTTCACTGATCTCCTTCAATCAGAGGCAGCTGCTCCAAGCACTTTCCGTGCCTTTCTCTTCCCTTCCAGGACAGAAAAAGCTTGGGAAGAGGGAAAAAAGGAAGAGCAAGAGGAAAGGGAATCAGGGCATCCAAGTCTTCTAACACCCCCCACCACCACCTTGAGCAAGTCTCATGACCCCCAGGGATCCCACCCCACAGTTTGAGAACCAATTCTCAAAACCATACTTTCTCCAAAGATCATACACGGAGGGATAAGATACTACAAAATTAGAGTGTGTAACTAAAATGCCTCCTCACATTTACTCTTTGGCTATTGTCACTACTTTCTACTGTTAAATTCATTAATTCATTAACAATTGCAAATTTTAAAATGAACATTATCTGAGCAAGACAAGATGTCTAACATTGTCAAACTGATATTTTGAAGGGTATCATATCTACCAATACAATGTTTGCTGGACATGCAACTTTTTTTGACAGAACAGGACAACAAGATTTTGAAATAATAATAATAATTTGAATCACAATGTGTTCCTCTATATTTTGTTATTTTTTAAAAGTCTTGCCCCCTTTGTTATTTTTCCAACTGTTTAGTTTTGTTAAAAAAAAACTTTTTCCTACAACTTGCCCATAATAGTAAATACTTTAAAATCTTTATCTTACAACCTATAGTTATTTTACAACATACATTATATATATACTGTAGCTTTGATATTATGTAATTTACCGTATTTTTCTCTTGTGGTTTAGAGAAGTGGTCCCCAAACTTTTTTGGGCTACCACCTCCTTTCCTCTTGGGCGACCATCGTAGCACCCCCTGGGCATATTTTTTGATATTAGATCTACTGTTCCATTGCAAAGTCAAAACAACCAATCTCAAGTCACTGCTCCCTTTTCACCCAGTGGCCTTGGGAGCAGCAACTGATCAGCAACTGGCTGAGGTGCTGTATTGTTTTAACTGAACTCTTTAAAAGAGCTTTTTATCTTTTTAAGAGCATTATTCTTTTAACTTATTATTTTATACTATATACCACAGCTACTGAGAAGCTTCTTGCTTGTGCCAGTCTTGCAGCAAAGGCTCAAGGAGCCACCCATCTGGAAAGAGCCACAGATATATAGCACAAACTTGGAGCCCCCCATCTAGAAGCAGCCTATGGTTTAGGGCATGAAATTTATCCATCAGGCAGTTTTTTCCAAATCTTCTATCTGTCATTCCAAGCAAGTGGATGAACAGATTTCCTACCATTCTAGGATCTAACAATTTATGTTGGCTAAGTAGTGACTGAGAAGCCTCTCACCTGTGCCAGCCTTACAGCGAAAGCCATTGAGGACAAGAGGCCTCTTGGTTGCTGCTCAGGCAGCTGCTAAGTTGCTGCTCCCAGGGTGACCAGATGCAAGGGAGAAGCTTCTCCCTAGAGAGAAGGGACTCAATCCTTCATTGGGGAAGAGAAAGGTGCAGCTGGTGTGTATGTAGAGAGTTTACAGAGGCCACACGCTCTTGCATGGAGACTGGTGTGCGCCGGAAAGGGAGAGATTTTAATTACAGGAGCCAGTCTAAGACGAAGGACTCTTTCCAATAATCAAGCACAGATACTCCTTCCCCAAAGATGATGATGATGATGATGATTACCCCATTCTTTAGAAAAGCTCTTGGGGGGATGCAGATGAGCGGCCCTGGGCCGCCCCGGGAAGCAGAAGATCAGGGCTGCTGCTACCACACGCAGTGACCCCAATTCTCCCGTTTGCTGGCCCAGAAAAGAGCGGCAAAATGCCACTCCTTTCAGAGCTGGCAAGAGCCACCGTGCGGCTCTTCTGCATCCCTTCCAGCAAGACCCTGTGCTGGGAGGACATTCTGATAGCGCATGCCGTGCGTAACAGTGCATGCTGTTAGAACGTCCTTGCGGAGGGGTTGGGGCAGCTGGCGTGCAGCTGGCCCTCCGCTTCCCTGCCTCCAAGATGGCACAAAGGGCTGTCTGTAGAGGCCCTTAGACAGGAAGACATGTCTTCTCCACACAGCTTCAAGTGTCCCCTCTCCCACAAAAAAGGGTTTCTTCTGCTACCTCTTCTCTCACTCCATCTGACAAAATAAAGCAAGAGCAACAGTGCAACTCCAACCTGTCCGTCAAGCCCCAGCAAAGCTCACAAAGCTTAAGCAGGGTCCTAAATTTGAAAGCTCCTTTTTGCCCCCATTTCTCCCCTGCCGCCATGTGCTGTAACCCTTTGCTCCAGTCTGTCCCAAAATGGTGTCACTCCAAGCCACAGAAGTGATGCCCCGTGCACAAGGCTCACAAGAGTTTCCCAACTCCCAGTACTAGCAAAATATGCTGGTAAGGGAGTGAGCTCACAGGCAAAGAGCAGGAGATAGCACCACACAAAATAATCAGTGAGGCTGTGTGGTGGTTTTTTTCAGGATCCTGAAAAGAAGTTTCATGTGATCCTCATCCCCACCATGGTCCTAAAGTCTGTTGATTCCCCTTGTCTTTCTTGCACACTGATACTTTGACTAAAGCCCCCCTGCAGCCCCCTTGTTTTCCTAACTGCCCTCCTACTGTCCCACTTTTCTTTCACTGCCCCGTGGAATCTTCCACCACCCTCAGGAGGAGCATACTGTCCACTTTGGAAATCATTGGTTTAGTATTTGATAACTTGGATAAAATGTTGTGCATTGCTTTGTTTGTTTCATTGATCATAACAGAGAAGATTACTTCAGTGTAGCCTGGATAGCTGATTCCTTCATACTATTGTCAATAGCCAGAGAGGAGAGGGGAAGGCAGAGGAGAAGGAACAGAACTGCCCCCCCTCCTTTGCTGGTCACAGAGATTTGACAGAATTTTGGTTGGGATATGGAAAATCAGGTAGTGATTGTAAGGTACAACCATGCTGAAGAGAAAGTATCTCAACCAAGGACAATTTTAGAAATTGTAGGATTATTATGAACCAGTGTGGTTTAGTGGTTTGGATGTTGGACTAGAACCCTGAGAGACCAGCGTTCGAATCTCTGCTTGGCCGTGAAGGCAAAGAAGGAAAGGGCAAACCACTTTTGAAGAAATCTTGTCATGATAGGTTTACCTTAGGGTTGCCATAAATTGGGAGCAGCTTGAACACACACAATAAGACAAACACAGAAGATTATTATGCTTCTAGGAATCTCAAGGGAAAAAACAAATGAAGCATTTCCAGAGCACTTTGATTCTACCACACAGATTAGCTGGTGCTTTCTACTAATAACAATCCAACATGGAAAGAAAAGGTTCAAAAGGAATACATTTTATTTGGTGTTTGCTACTTTACTTAGTACCAGTGTGGTTTAATGATTCCCTAAAATATATCTAGTACAGTGGTACCTCTACTTATGAAATTAATCCGTTCCGACAGCCA